CCTCCCAGCCCACACTCACCTGGTGATGAATCGGGCTTCTGAATGGCGGCAGGCCACAAACAGGCCTTTAATGATGTCCATCTTCCTGGCTGTGGACTGAAGAGGTGGGGACAGAGCAGTCAGGCCCAGGGGGCGGGGAGAGGACCCCACCTCCTCCCGGCCACCCAGCTGCCTGGAGAGATGCCGCCCTTGGAGCACCTGCCCCCTCGCTGCACCCCACGTCCCCGCTCCCCCAGCCCCATGCTCAGTAAAGGGCCCGCTCTCCTTCTTGCCCCCCTAGCTTTGGTCAGCAAATAATGACCGAGTCCTGTCACACAGCTGGCACCAGGTCAGGTGCCAGGATCTCAAGAGGAGGTTCCCGCAGCCTTGAGCGGGGAGAAGGAGAAGGAAGCTGTGCACCCCTCACGGAGCTGACGCGATCCAGCCCCGGAAAGTCTAACCAGCCGCCCCCACCCCCATGCCACAGGCCTGGCACTGGGTCCCCGAGGCGAAGAGCACAGGGTCGGGGGTCCCGGGGGAGCGGCCCTGCCCCACTCACAGCGTTGCCAGTGAGCCGGGCGATGTCTCGGAATTTGGCGAGGACCCCAGAGGCGGTGAGGGCGGGTGGGGGCAGCATGAGTCTCTGGGTGCTGCGGCTGTTCTCGGCCACCAGCCCCACGTCGCCCGTCTCGGCTGCCTCGGCCCGCACCAACTCGAGCTGCCGACCTTGGGGGCAGAGCGTGAGGAGCAGGGTGAGGCCCGTGGCTGCACGGCGACCTTCTCTGGCGTTTTCTCCAGCCGCGTGTGCTCGTGGCGAGCCCCCAACCTCCCCATTCCCAGAGCCCACCCACTTCCTGAAGTGGCTCATCCCACACCTGTCTCCACTGCATCAGGCGTGAGAGGCCTAATGCACGTTCACGTGGGGTGCGGGGAGCAGCGGGACGGACCCGTCCACACCAGGGGAGGCTGGAGTGGTGGCGTCAGTGTGCACATGGGATTCAAAGCCACGGGGTAGGATGAGATTGCCAGGGGGCGAGTGTAGACAGAGGAGGCCGAAGGACCCTCTGCCCGCCCCCTAGCTGACCGTGAACACTATCCCACAGTGTCTAAAAGGCCTTTGCTTTTTCTTTTGTTACCCTTTTTAAAATTTTTATTTACTAATTTTAGAGAGAGGAAGAAAGAGAAAGAGAGAGAGAAAGAGAGAGAGAAACATTGATGTGTTGCTCCACTTAGTTATGCGTTCATTGGTCGATTCCTGTACATGTCCTGACTGGGGATCGAACCGCAGCCTTGGTGTATTGGAATGACACTCTAACCAACGGAGCTTCGCGGCCAGGGCCACGCTGAACTTTAAGTCACCAATTTAAACACACAGATGTGTCTTGGCCTCGCTCACTGCCCAGACTGGGCCCACGGGCACCCCTCGCTGTAAGAGCCGGGGGCTGGGAAGTGGAGCTGTGAGTTGCCACAGCTGTGACCACATCCTCACTCCATCAGAGCCAACCGCCCCTTTCCTCACAGCACAGCGGCTGGGAGCAGGCAGCAGCGAGGCTGAAGCCACTGCCCGCTGTGCCCCATCCTTGGCGTCTTACCGCTAAGGTACCTTGTGTCTCTGTTCTACGCTGAAAAAGAAACGCAGAGCTGACGCCCTACCGACACGTCATTTCGATACAATCCTGACTCTCACACACACAGGAATGGAGGGAAAGCAACTCATAAGAAAACAGGCACTTCCGTCCTGGGCTGCCCGCCTCCGGCGCTGCAAGGCGTGAGCAGACAGACGGAGAGGTCGGGCTCGTGCCTGTACGGGGAACCGCACAGAAGGGGCAGCGACAAGTGTGACCCTCCTGTTGCTTGTGATGTGGAGACACGACCTGCCGACGGTGACAGCGTGAAACGCAGAGCTGACGCCCTACCAACACGTCACTTCGATACAATCCTGACTCTAACACACACAGGAATGGAGGGAAAGCAACTCAAGGAAACAGGCACTTCCGTCTTGGGCTGCCCGGCCCCGGCGCTGCAAGGCGTGAGCAGACAGACGGAGTGGTCGGGTGGAATCGCGCAGAAGGGACAGCGACAAGTGTGACCCTCCTGTTGCGTGTGATGTGGAGACACGACCTGCCGACGGTGACAGCGTTTCCAAAATGCTGCCCGACTCTCACAGACCTGCGGCTGTGCAGGCGTCCCGGCCACGAGGAGGCGCTCGCGAGTGGGTGCTAATGTGCTGAGGACGTGGCTCCCCACGTGTCGGTGGCCCCCAGGCACAGGCCCACGCTGAAACGACGCACTTCCCTGAACGTGTCCGCCTCACCAGTGCCCTGTCCTAGTGGTGGTTCCGTCATCCTCCCAGTCAAGCAAGATCCCTGACCCCCAGAGCCCGCAGGTCCCTCCTGTCCTGTCTCTCTCCACGCCACCCTCGCCTCTGCTCCTGCAGGCCTGGCCCCAGCTCCTCCTCCCCCTGGACCTTCGCCCCAGCCTCCTCCCCGGACTCCCAGCTTCCTGTCCGTGCTCCACACGGGCTCAGAACTGCCCGGGCCCTGCCCCTTGCCAGCTCACAAGCCTTCTGTGGCTCCCAAGTGCCTCACAATAAACACCAAGCCCTGGACGCCCTGGCAGGCAGGCCCGCCCACACACGCCGCCAGCCTCTCCATAAACACGGGCTCGGCCCCTGCAGGCCGCCAGCTCCACACCCCTCTCTTTCCTCACCCCTGGGCCCCTCCGGGCTCTACTGCTCGGTCCTTTAGGAGCTCCACTACCTGCCTAAGCCCAATCCCCAGACCCGCCCCCAAATCCTGCGCTCTGCCTGCGGGCATCTTCCCCGGCCGCTCCTCTCCGGCCCAGGCCCATCGCACTGCGGGCCCAGGTCTCCCTCACCTGCACCACCGCCCTCACACCCTGCCATCTGTCCCAGGTCCTCTTCACTCACTGCCTTCTGAGCCCTCTCCACCATCTCAGACCCTCCCGCCGAACGTCCACCGCAGCCCCTCCTCACCTGTGGCCTGGGCCACCGCCTTGAGAAGGACACCATCCCCGACGCCGAGCTCCAGGCCCTGCTGGGGGGGCCCGAGGCAGTTGAGGCTGAGGTAGAGGATGGGGAGGAGGTCTGGGGGCGACAGGGCCACCACGGAGCGAAGCAAGTTGCTCAGCGTCTCCACCATCCGGAGCCTGGAGGAGGAGGAGAGGGACTGCCAGGCCAGGGACAGAGCCGGAGGCACCCGCCCCGCCCGGCCGGCCGGCTTCCTTACCGAGCAGAAACCTCCTCGATCTTCTCAAACGTCCGGGCCACCGCCAGGTAAGGGACCCTGGGGAGGGGAGGGAGACACAAGAGCAGCATGGAAACCCACGCTGTCCTCCACCCACCTGCCTCCCCGAGGACGGCCTTGCGATACCCAAAAGCATGCCCACCCCTGATCCCGCCTGCTCCCCGGGGTTCTCTCTCTGTCCCCTTCAATGCTGCTCTGTCCCCAAAACACAGAGGAGACCCTGGACAGTTCCAGAGCCAGGCAGGCGGTTCTGTGTGCCTTCTTGGATGTTACCTACAGACGCCCATGTTCTGATTTCCTACTTTTCCCCTAAATAGTGGGGGAACAGCAGAACCCTTTGTTTTCAGCATTCACATGCCAAGTGCAGCCTCACTGCTTCTCCGGTGATCCCGGGAAAGGAGGCCAAGGGCAGACACCGGGAGGGCCGGGGAGGCTGGGCGAAGTGGCATTCCCTACCGCTTCATCCCGGCCTGTGATAGTCGGGTGTGCGGCATTTCCTGTCCACATAGCCACAGACCCGGCTTTCTGATGCCGGGTCCACGGGACACGGTGTGGGGATGGGGCCTTCGGGTGTTGGAGAGAACCAGCCCTTACCCTGGTGGGCTCACTCAGTCATTTTTCTATGGGAAGGAAATTTGAAACAGGAGCCCTGAGCGGGCATGTGTCCGTCCGTGGCGCAGTGTCTCCTTGGGGTGGGGGTGCCCGGCTCACTGGGGCCTCAGATGGCAGCTGCTGGACACTGAGCCTGAAGGCCCATGCGGCCACCGTCACTTGTGGCCGGGGCGGTGCTGCCCCCTGGTGTTGGGCGGTGGTGTTGCCATCCCCTCTTTAAGCTGCTAACCGGCTTCTCCGTGTGTTCGCTTTTTCAGACCGCAAGTCCATCTTCTTCAACAGCCACAACGTGTCCAAGCCGGAGTCGTCATCGGTCCTGACGGAGGTATGTCCCTGCCGCCCTGGTGGCTGGTGTGAGCCTGGGGCGGGTGTGCTCCTGGCTGCGGGGCCCAGGGTCGAGCTCTCCCGTGGGCAGGGTCGGAGGGGCCTTCCCTAGAGGCCTCTGGCCTGCTTGCCCCGGGCCTTCGTGCTGATGACCTGCGTGCCTAGGCCCGCTCACCACCAGGTCACGCCCGGGAGGTTTTCCAGCTCTTCCCCCTGCACGGGGAGCTCCCCAGTAGGAGGAGCTTGAGACCCTGCTTTTTACTGATTTAAAGACGGGGTGAGAGGCCAAGCCATCTCCTTTCTTTCCTTGTCTGTGTGTGTCCCGGGAGTGTTAAGAGCCCGCTGTCACTTCTGTGCTGCTGGGCTGCTTCTCGGTGGGTGGTGAGCTCAGGCTGCTGGTCAGTGTTGCTGTGTGTCAGGCTCCCTCCTGGATGCCCTGGGGCATCAGGGACTGGAGTACGGCAGGGCGGGCAGGGCGGGCAGGGCGGCCAGGGCGGGCAGGGCGAAGCCTCACTTCTGGCCCTGCATCCAGCACGCGTCCTGGACGGGATGGTAGTTTTTCTTGGCAGGGTTGTAGCTGGATGGGTCCAGGGGGCTGCAGAGGCAAAAGGGAGATTAGATGAGGTCGATGCTGGGTTGAAGAGAAGCCCGCTCCTCCAACTAACGTTTCCTGAGCACCTACCATGGCCAGGCACTGTTCTAGGCCCAGAAGTAAATGAAAATAAAGTTTGCTAACCTGGAGCTCACATCCGAGTGGGAGAGTCTGGGGGAGAAAACATATAAACAAATAACTTTAGATATTAAAAGATATTTCAGAAAACAAAATAAAACCAAGTACAGGGAGAAAGCAGGTTGATAGATGCTACTTCAGAGGGCGGTGGGGGAAGGCCTGAGCAGATACATCTGAGCAGAATGACGCGAAGGGTGAGCAGAGTGTTTATTAGGGAAACGAGCATCCCAGGCAGGGGGAACAGCGAGTGCAAAGGCCCTGAGGTAGAGACGCGCTCAACATGTTCGAGGAACAGAAAAGGGGTCCACGTGGTTATAGTGGAGCATGGTTTTTGGAGTCCACACTACGAGACCTACGATCCCTGGGCCTCTCACCAGCCCCTCCCTCGCTCACTCTGGGTGGAGAGCACGAGGGGGAGGTCACGGGGCGCCACGAAGTGCCAGGCACGGTGCTGAGAGCACACAGCTGTTAGCAACCAGTCCTGCAGGTACGGGCTCTTCTACATTTTCCCGACCAGGAGACTGGGGCCCAGAGTGGCGAAGCAGTTCCCCCCGGTCACACAGCTAGTAGCAGGGCTCCAGACTGCTCTGACCCCTACATCACAGCCTCACGCTGACCCTGTCAGAGCCAGCACAGCCCCGACTGCAGCCAGACCATCTGGTTCAAATCCCTGCTGCATCACCAACCAGCGGTGTCACCTGGAGAAGTGGCTTCCGTCTCCAAACCAGTGTCTCCATCTGTATAATGAAGCCACCAAAATCCTACAGTGACATGCTGTCATTACGGTTAAGGAAAAAATAGGGTAAGGATTCTCACGAGGTGCATTTTCTGGGGATTATTTTAAAAACAACACTGATGCTCTGGCCGGTGTTTCTAAATGGTTAGAGCATATGCCTGCAAACGGAAGGGTCGCAGGTTCGATTCCCGGTTAAGGGCAGGTACCTGTGCTGCAGGTTTGATCTCCGACCCCAGTCCAGGCACATGCAGGAGGCAACCAATCAATGTCTCTCTCTCCTTGATGTTTCTCTCTCTCTGTCTCCCCCCTCCCTCCCAATCTCTTCCATTCTTTCTAAAAAGTCAATGGAAAAAAATATCCTCCAGTGAGGATATTTTAACTAAATAAATGTAACCCTGACTCCCAGCCTCAGGCCTGTATCTATTCCAAAACTGGGGACCGAAGGGCACATGGAAGACTCCAGATTTTTCAGCTTTTCCGCTGATTCTTCTGCAGACAGGACTGTGGATGGAACAGGTGCAGGGCTGTGCACAGTGAATTGTACAGACTCCGTGTTGAATAAGTGTAGCCGTCCTGGCTGTTTCTATTGTTACTACAAGAAGCAGCAGAGCATGGTGGGTAAGAAACTACAGCCAAACTGCCCGCTTCATCCCAACTCTGCCACACTCCCCGTCTGCAGCCTAAGCAAGGCCCTAAACTCAAGTCATAGTAATAACGGTAATAATAGCAGCCGCTATAAACCTATAAACCTGCTGAGCTTGGCCGTAGCTGAAGCCTCGTCTAGATGCTTCCCGCCCTCAGGAGACGGGCACAGAGAGGCCGTCACTCCCCTGAGGCCACACAGCTGGCAAGGGTGGAGCTGGGCTCTCAGCTCTCCACGCTGCCCTGCCTCCACGCTCACTCCCCTCGCTGCGAAAAGGGATACCAACAGCATCCACACACCGTGGTGCCGTGAGGAGCACAGAGGCCCATGGCCTAGCGCAACCGTGGGCAAACTACGGCCCGCGGGCCGGATCCGGCCCGTTTGAAATGAATAAAACTAAAAAAAAAAAAAAAGACCGTACCCTTTTATGTAATGATGTTTACTGTGAATTTATATTAGTTCACACAAACACTCCATCCATGCTTTTGTTCCGGCCCTCTGGTCCAGTTTAAGAACCCATTGTGGCCCTCGAGTCAAAAAGCTTGCCCACCCCTGGCCTAGCGCCTGGGACACAATAACAGTGGATGTTAACTTCCTGTCATCAATACGTCCCACTTCAAAGGTGAGGAAACTGGAGGTCCCGCAGGTCGGCCTGTCACCTCTAGGCAGCCGTCAGACACAGACAAGTGATCGGGCTGGGAGTGAGGTAAGAAAAAGGGTCGCAGTGTCACAGGAAATAAGGAACGAGACATAAGACGTCGTCTCTGGTAGAGAAACGTCTGTATACTCGCACAAGCACAGACGCACACCCAGGAGGCATGACGGGGCAGTGGTGAAGGGAGAGCCCAGGCTTAAGAATCAGGGGACATGAGTCCCAGGCCTGGCCTTACCCCCACCTCCCTGTGGGACTCGGGGAAGCCGACCTAACCTCTCTGGGCTCATGGTTCCAATGCCTGTGAAATGGCTAAAACACCCGCCTCCTCCACAGGACGGCTGCAGAGGAAGAGAGCCTTCAGCTGTACCTGACACAGTACGTGTTCAAGAAAAGGAGCTCGCTGCCCTGACCAGTTTGGCTCAGTGGAGAGAGCGTCAGCCTGCGGACTGAAGGGTCCCAGGTTCGATTCCGGTCAAGGGCATGTACCTTGGTTGCAGGCACATCCCCAGTAGGGGGTGTGCAGGAGGCAGCTGATCGATGTTTCTCTCTCATCGATGTTTCTAACTCTCTATCCCTCTCCCTTCCTCTCTGTAAAAAAAAATCAATAAAATATATTTAAAAAAAAGAAAGAAAGAAAAGGAGCTGGCTGCAGTGCAGTCACACACTGAAATGAAGCCACTTAATCTCACTTAGGTCTCCACTGGGGTGCAAAACTGACATTAAGAATCCCCCAAACATTTTTTAATTAGTATAATTAAAGCTGAAAATTTTCTGTGATTATCTGTCTCCTTTTTGGAGGCTTACAGTAAAACCAAAGCGGTTTGGACTCGCTGCCTGATCCTTTTCAATCCACTGTCCTCTCTACTCAACAACAGACACTGACTCACCCCTTGGACGCCTCCTTTCTTGGGGTGCCAGGCCCCTCTTCTTTCACTTCCTTTTTGATTGCCGGCTTCCGGGGGGCTGGGAAGGAAGCCAGAAAATTGTGGGTCCTTCTCCTTCTGACAGCCCCCATCCCACACCCCTCCCCAACTCTCAATAGCCAGTGACAAGCCAGGAGATGTAGTCATTAGACTTTCTAACACAGGAAGGCCAACGGACCTGCAGCTCTCTCTGGAGAAAGGCCGGCCCGCCTCCTCCCAGCACCGCCCAGGGGAGGGGAGGCAGGAGGAGAAACTCACTGAAGAAACTGCTGAGCATCCTGGGAGCTCTGGGGGGCGGCTTGGCCTGCTCCTCATCCTGGGGCTCCTGCTTCACCACCACCATGGGCTCGGAACCGCTTTCTGTCGGCGGCTCAGCTTCTAAAGCGAGAGGTCAGACGATGATGCTGCAAACTGTTTCCACCCTGAAGCTTTTTACTGTTTAACCCAGTGGTTCTCAACCTTGGCTGCACATGAGAATCACCTGGGAATCTTTTTAAAATTCTGATTTCTGGGCCTCATCCTCTGGAAATTGTTATGGGGTGAGGCCACAACATTAGTAACAAAGAAACAGAATTTCTGGAGGATGAGGCCCAGAAATCAGGATTTTAAAGATTCCCAGGTGATTCTAATGTGCAGCCAAGGTTGAGAACCACTGGTCTAAATGGAAAACCTCACCAATTCGGCCCTTTTCCCCTGCCCAGAGCCCTGGTCGGCAAACTGCGGCTCGTGAGCCACATGCGGCTCTTTGGCCCCTTGAGTGTGGCTCTTCCACAAAATACCACGTGCGGGCGCGCACGTACAGTGCGATTGAAACTTCGTGGCCCATGCGCAGAAGTCGGTATTTTGTGGAAGAGCCACTCTCAAGGGGCCAAAGAGCCACATGTGGCTTGCGAGCCGCAGTTTGCCGACCACTGGCCCAGAGTAAGCTTTGAGCCTGATTTTTTTTGTCGGTACTAACTCATGAGATTCTAGCATTTAACCCCAAACCGGAGACCTATGGAAAGGGTAAAAAGACCGCAGCCCAATGAGAAAATGTCCCCACTTCTGCAGCTGCAGAAAATCAGGTACCACTCTGCATGCTGAAACGGCCCACGGGTTGTTCCTAACTCAGGGGGCTCACGGACACCGGATGGCGGGGCTGGTGAGGGGCAGGCTGACCTCTAAACCCCACAACTCAGCCTGGTTGTCCAACTTAAAAATTATCGCTCAACTAATTACACTTAGTACCTATGATTCCTGAGATGTATTTTGTTGCAGGATGACTGGCTCTTTCTTTTTTTCTCACGTCCATGCAGAAAAATAATAACAATAAAACCCAGAATCCATATGTAAACAGCACACTTGAGAATCTACGTCTCATTTAAATGAATTGTCCGACCAAGACATCTGACCCCAAAAGCAGAGATGGGGCTGCAGGGGGAAGAGGATCTGAAACTCACTGCAGGCGTTTTGGGGCTCGGGGGGCATCATGGGCAGGTCCCCCTCTTCTGCTTTCTTCTCTTTGGCCCCTTCTGCCTCTGGGAGGTTTTCTGTTGGGGTCTCTGCTTCTGAGGACACACGGGAAATGAGAAGGCAAAAAGTCACTTTGACCCCCAAGGACATTTCACCTCCCAAGACGTTCTGCCCCTTTATTCTTTCTTGAGCCAATCAAGTGTCTGTAAAGTAAGCATGTCAAACTCGCGGCCCATGGGCCGCATGCCTCGTTTACTTGGCCCGTGTTAGCCTTTGAGTTTGACATGCTTGCTGTAAAGGGACGGGAGGTGGGGACCCCCAAGAGAAGCCAATCCCGTGTTCACCTGTGCAGCTAAGCAAGGCCAGCCTTTTCTTATAATTATTTTAGAATTAGTTACCACAGAATAGGAGTTGCATGTGATAACTTGTTACAGATTATAATAAAAAAATTAAACTGACTGAAAAAAATCATATCAGGGAAACAAAAGTTGTATAAACTTGGGAAAAATTTATCTTAGTAGAAAAAGCCACCCACCCCCACATCCCCAGACACTGATAATTAATTCATAGTAAAATTCATTACTGACTAAAAATTGCCAACAGGAAATGAACTCTCCCCCGGGAGAGATGAGCTTAATAAAGACCTTTTATTAGACAAACAAACCGACAGTGGCAAAGGCTGCAGCTGGGCTAATCTCAGGCCCCAAAGGATCGATCGATCGATCAATCAGACCTTTATCACTGCAGCTCCCACGTCACCAAGATGCAAGAACTCACAGGGACACAGCAGGATACCTGACACTTTCAACGGAAACTGGGGACTTGTGCTCCACACTGATGAACTACTACGTCAAGGTATTTTAGTTTTCAGTATCGGGTCACGTTCCTTGCCGTTTCTGATGTTACATATTTTGCAAAGCTGGTTTTCACTAGTTGCTGTGATAAAAACCAAGCACTGCACAGATCAGCATGGGGCAGGAAACAGGAAATGAGGGTGGCAGTTTGCAACTGGATTCCAGTCTGAGAAGCGGTGCAGGGCCCAGGAAACATCCTATTATAATCCACTGTGACTACTTAAGAATAAAATAGAAACGTTAATTTTCCTCTCCACGTATGTGTATTATTTTCCTCAAGTGCCCGAGCTCCTAGAACATAAGCAATGATTTGGATATCCACTACTTAACACATTTCGTACCGCTCAGGAGTTTTCTCGTGTTTCTCGCGCCATCTGTTAAGGACCGCTCACGAGTGTTCTCGTTTTTCACGCCCATGGAAAAAGGAGCGAACCTAGATACTTATGTAAATTTTGTTTGGTCCCTCTTCATAGAGGAAAATGTTTTACGCAGTACCATACGTTAAAAAAGTACTAGGAACTTTAATTGTTTAATTGTTTTTGTAAATAAAAATGTTATAATTATTGAAAAACAACACCTAAAGTGCATTATGAGGATTTAAATAACGTGTAGTTTGCCCAAAAACGTGCGGTCCCTGGCGTATGTCTTAGAGATTTCTATGCGGTCGCAATGTGTTAATACACAGAACTGGTCTGGTACTGGCCGAGGGCACCATGAAAAAATGACTGAGACACCGCGGGGTCTGGGAAAACGTGGGAGCCTCTGCTTCCTGGTGAAATTTACAAGGGAAAGGGGATCATTTAGAGGAACATACTTCGAAAAAGTAACGATAAAAAGTGAGAAACTGTATGGAAACTAAACTGAGACAGCCAAGTGACTATATTCCAAAATGCTCTCCTAATAAAACCCCATATTGGTGTGTGGGGTCTGACAGACGTATTTAGATTCATGGACACAGGCATCCAATCAGTGGGGTACTAACACCTTGTCCTCTCAGATCGGCCACGCCCTTCCAGATTTCCCTCTGTGCACAGTCAGACACACAGACAGACAGACATGTGCACACACCCCTCCTCCCGGTGCCTCACCTTCCTCCACCTTCTTCCTCTTGGCTTCTTGGCCCTGGTCCGTGCTGTGCTCTTCTAGGACACCCTGAATCTTCCGTTTAGAAAACTGCTTTCGAGCTGGGAAGGCAAAGGCTGAGGTGTGGCTGACTCGCTGGCCAATCTGCCCCGCCCCGGAGAACTCGGCACCACGCTCACCCCGACCCCCTTGTGATGGGGCTCCTGAAAAGGCTCTGGGTCCCCCCCTTCTCCTCCTGCCCACAGCTACTGCCCAGTGCGAGCCTTGTCCCTGGAGCTCACGCTGCCTCCTGGCTGTATGACAGTGAGCAGTTACTTAATCTTCTGGGCCTCACTCTCCCACATGCACAGAATGGAAATAATCCCAAAAAGTAAGCAAAGGTGCAACGGGCTCAGCCCAGTCCCAACTGCAGCCAACGCACGGTGAGCAGTTACTTAATCTCTCTGGGCCTCTCTCCCACATGCACAGAATGGAAATAATCCCAAAAACTAAGCAAGGGTACAACGGGCTCAGCCCAGTCCCAACTGCAGCCAACGCACTCCGTGCCCTGCATCCCCAGGAGCTGACCATCTCCGTGTGTCCTGGACACATTTTCCAGGACCTCAGAAGCCCGATGCACCAGGAATCAACAGACCCTGGGAGTTCCCTCACCCAATGACTAACGGTGCTGGTGTATAAGCACTCAGCTCCCTGCACTTCCGGCAGATCATTCTGCACACATTTAGGCCAATTCCCAGCGCTTCCCCAGAGAATGAAGCTCCAGCGCCCCTGAGGGAGCCGACCTAAGAACACATCTTTTATGGGCCGACTCCCCTTCCCTGGATCACTGTCTGTCTTCTCTGCACCTCCCACCTCCCCAAGAAATGGTCTGTACTGAATCCTTGTCAGAGTTTCAGAGCCTGTTTCTAGAAGATTCCAAATTGAGATCACATGGCAAAGAAAACGAAGCTGTAATGATTTTCATCAATTCTCACCTTCTCCCTGGTCTCTGGGCTTCTTCCCATGACCCCAGAAGGACCTTTAGCAGCTGTGGCGGGAACGGTCCCTGCCCTGCTCAAAAGCTTCCCACATTCCCCGCCCCCACTCCAGGACAAAGCCTTTTAGTGTCCACTCTGTCCTCCCATCCTCCCTAACTTCTCTCCACCTGACCCCCTAACTCCCACGCCACACAATCCACTTTCTTTACCAACATCACTGAATGGCTGTCATTCCCAAATACTCCGCAGTCACCTCTGGGCTTTTGCACGTGTTGTTGAGCTAGTGGCCCAGCCCTTTGGGACAAAGCTCAGATGTCACCTCCTCTAAAATGAATCCCTGACACACCCCGAGCCAATGTTGGTGTCAGCCCCGAGACACTCAGTTATTTTATTAGGACCACCTCTCCCGCAGGCCTGACCAGCCCTTCCAGCTCGCAGCGCCCCCATGGCTCCCCAGCACCGCAGGCTAAAGTCCAGGCTCCCTAGCCTCACGTGCAGGGCCCTCGGGGAGCCAGCCCCCACTCTCCCCAGTTCATCTCTCCCCACTCTTCCAGGCGGGCTCAGTTCTGCGCTCCCACAGCCCTCGTTACCACTATTATTCCTTATACCACACCATCCAATGAAAATACATGCAAGCCACACAATCATCTTAAATAGTCCAGTATCTACACTGAAAAGCAGGACAAAAACAGGTGAATGAAGTCATTTGCCCAGTCACACAGCCGGTGGATGGTGGAGCTGTGCTCTTAACCACAAGGCCAAGCTCAGAGCTGTCATGAGGACGGTTGCCTGGTGCTGAAATCCAAGTGGGACAAGGACAAACAACTGAAAGGGCAGGGCCCGTGTGTCCTTACCTGTGAGCCGCTTCGGGATCCCTGACGGGGAGATGGTCGCTGCTGGAGAGGTGCTGGAGAGGGAAGGGCTGCTCGCAGGGGACGTGACAGGACCGGGAGGGGAGACTTGTGGAGAGCTGGGGGCAGGCTTCTGGAAGAAGAAAGGAAGAGCAATTACAGAGTGGGGGTGGGGGGGGGAGAGAGAGCGCCGAGCTATCTCATTTCCCAACAGCTGAGAGCAGAGAGGGACTCTGTGTCTCCCCTGTGGCGGGCGGGCATGGCCATGGCATACTCAGCCCCCGATTGGGCGCCTCATGTGCCCCACCAGCTCAGCCAGGTTTGGTGACCCCGAGAGGGGGCGGTGAAGGATTAGAAAAGACAAGAGAAGAAAGCTGGGTCTCGGTGGGACGCTGCCCTCTGGGATGGAGAGAGACAGCGCCTCGGACTACAAGCCGTGTCTTTATTTTATAGCCAGTTTCCACGAGGCAAAGGGCGTGGTCAAGATGTTTACAACATTCTCCTGGGTTTCGATCCTACTCAATTACATGCACCTGAACTCTATCAAGCCCACATCACTCAGGCACGTGGGGCCACGTGTTCGGACCATAGGTTCAAGCTTACAACTACAGCTGTTGGCTCTAATTGTGCTGGGAGGGCTCTGCCCTCCAAGCTGGGACTTGCACGTGGCCATGAGAGGACCGTGTCCTCTCATTAGTTCGAGGCTTGACCCTGTCCCAACACTGAAGCCGCTCCCCACACTCCTCCTCTCCATGCCACCAGTCCCAGCCCCAGCTCAGGCCACGGCCCCTCTCACGGGGGCCCTCACTCCACCCTCCATGTAGAGTTCATGGTCCCAGATTCTCCTGGACACCAATAACAACTCTTTTTTCTAAAGACAAAATCTTTGGTTTTTAGGTAAGCATGTGGTGGCCCAACTAAAGACCACACTCCCCAGCCTCCCTTTCGGCTAGTGTGGCCATGCCCCTCAGTTCTACACAATGCAAGGTAAGGGGAAGAACTTACCTTGGTCCCAACAGCATTCAACAGTGGAAAGGGGAGTGCCCTCTTCCCAATGGGGATATTCCCTTGGACAAGAGCACCCCTGACTCAGAGACTCCCACACGAATCCGGGACTTTTGTGCTCATGAGAGAGAGAGAGCCCTACCTTGCTTAAGCCTCTGTTATTTGTGTCTTGGTTTCAACTACTAACTCATCTTCATACGGGGCCCTGTGCCAGGGATTAAGCGACTGCCCCTCAGCTCCCATCCGCTCCCCCTTTCCTGCTCTGTGTCCGGGATCCAACTTCCAGTTCTTCCAACACTTGCAGGGCCTGCTGCCTGGTGCCCCACGGAGACCGGCAGCCCCTGCCCGGTGCCCCTTCCTCAAAGGTCCTTCATAACTGTAACGTTGCTACTGTTATGAATCGTAATGTAAATATCTGATATGCAGGATGGTCTTAGGCGACCCCTGTGAAAGGGTCGTTCGACCGCCAAAGGGGTCACGACCCAGAGATTGAGAACCGCTGTGCTAGGGGCTCCAACTTCCAGTTCTTCCAACACTTGCAGAGCCTGCTGCCTGGTACCCCACGGAGACCGGCAGCCCCTGCCCAGTGCCCCTTCCTCAAAGGTCTGAGCGCCAGGCCCCAAGGCACCTCCTCCAAACCCAGAGGCCCAGCACCCACCAGCCAGCATCTATACCACAATGGTCTGAATGTCAGCTCCACAGCTCCCCACAGGCCCCACAGGGAGCCCAGGAGCCAAGGCCACCTCTTCCCTCTCCTGCTCAAGCCCTTCCTCAGCGGCCTCGCAGCCTCGGGGCCAAGTCCAAGCTCCTAAAGAGGTCCCTGTCCGAATCCCCGGGATCTGTGAGCGGAGACAACGCAAAGGGCAACCCAGGCTGCAGGGGCAAGTAAGGTTGTTAACCAGCGGCCCTGAGAGAAGGACATGATCCTGGATCATCCGCTGGGCCCAATGCAATCACAGGAGCCAGAAAGTACAAGAGGGAGGCAGGACAGAGAGACGTGATTACAGAAGGGCAGCGTTGCTATGTTTGCACACAGAGAAAAGGGGGCCATTAGAAGCTGGAAAGGGCAGGGAGATGATTCTCTCCTCGAATCCCAGAAACGCAGCCCTGCCGACACCTTGACTTTAGCCCCGTGAGACCCATGTCAGGCCCCCGACCTCCAGAACTGCGACATAATACGTTTATGTGATTCTGTTGTTGTTAATCCTCATCCGAGGATATTTTTCCATTGATTTTTAGAGAGTGGAATGAAGGGTGTTGCGGCCAAAGGTGAACTGAGTGGGGGGGTGAAAGGATTAAGGAAAAAAAAAAAAGGATTAAGGAAAGACAGATAACAGAATGAAAGCTGGGTCTCGGTGGGACGCTGCTCCCTGATGAGGAGACAGCGCCAGCACCCACAAGCCGTGTCTTTATTTTATAGCAGATGCCACGAGGCAAAGTAGGGGCATGATCACGTTGTTTACGCAAGTAAGGTTGTTAACCAGCGGCCCAGAGAGAAGGACATGATCCTGGATCATCCGCTGGGCCCAATGCAATCACAGGAGCCAGAAAGTACAAGAGGGAGGCAGGAGAGAGAGACGTGATTACAGAAGAAGGGCAGCGTTGCTATGTTTGCACAGAGAAAAGGGGGCCGTTAGAAGCTGAAAAGGGCAGGGAGATGATTCTCTCCTCGAATCCCAGAAACGCAGCCCTGCCGACACCTTGACTTTAGCCCCGTGAGACCCGTGTCAGGCCCCCGACCTGCAAACTGCGACATAATACGTTTATGTGATTCTGTTGTTGTTAATCCTCATCCGAGGATATTTTTCCAATGATTTTTAGAGAGTGGAATGAAGGGAGTGTTGCGGCCAAAGATGAACTGAGTGGGGGCAGCGGGGGGTGAAAGGATTGAGGAAAGACAGATAACAGAATGAAAGCTGGGTCTCGGTGGGACGCTGCTCCCTGATGAGGAGACAGCGCCAGCGCCCACAAGCCGTGTCTTTATTTTATAGCAGATGCCACGAGGCAAAGTAGGGGCGTGATCACGTTGTTTACAGCATTCTCGTGAGTTAAAAAAAAAACATGCACCTGAACTCTATCACAAGGCACGTGGGGCTACGTGTTCGGACCATAGGTTCAAGCTTACAACCACAGCCATTGGCTATGATTGTGCTGGGAGGGCCCTGACCTCCAGCTGGGACTTGCACGTGGCAATGAGAGGACCCTGTCCTTTCATTAGTCCGAGGCTTGATCCTAGCCAAAACACTGTAGCCGAGCCCCATAAGGGAGGGAGGGGGAAAAAGAAAGAGAGAAAAACATGGATGTGAGAGAGATACATCAACTGGTTGCCTCCTGCACATGCCCCGACCAGGGCAGGGGATCAAACCTGCAACCCAGGCACATGCCCTTGACCAGGAATTGAACCTGAGACCCTATGGTGCTCGGGCAGACGCTCTAACCACTGAACGCACCGGCCAGGGCAGGCATTAAATTACTTTTCAACGGGAAGGAAATGAGCCAAAGTGTAGAGAAGACAACAAGCTGTGGTAACGGGAGAGACTATGTATCTTTGGGCCCTTCCTTTCCTTTCAACCACCAATGGACATTTTCTAGGCATTATTCTCAGATCCGTATGTGAGCTGACGCCCATCCTCTTCACAGCCACCCTGAGAGGCAGGTGCCACCATGAGCTGCATGTCACAGGTGAGGCGCACCGAGGTCAGGGGGCCTGCCCAGGTCCCACGACTGAGGCGGACTTAGGACCGTGGAGACCTGGCCGCCCGCCTGCTCCAGGGCACGACCACGAAACCCTCCCCCTCCTGGGGCATGCCTCCAGGGCCCCCCTGAGCAGCGGCTGCACTCGGTCCCGAAGGCTAATGGGAATTGGGGTTGCTCCCCGTAAACGTGGGCAGGCTGACGGGGACCTACCTGGCCTTTGGGGGACGTGATGGCTTCATCGTCCTCCTCCTCCTCCCCTTCGCTACACAGGACCCGGGCCGTCTTCCTGCCCGACCTCTTCACCGGAGAGTCGCTCTCAGGCACCACTCTGTTCCGCTCCTTCAGCGCCACCCTAGAAGGGGGGGAAATGGGGGTGTTCTAGCTGGCAGAGTGGGCCAGACAAACACTCCAGCTCCTTCACCATGTCTGTCTCCTTCCTTTCCTTTCAACCATCAATGAACATCTTCTAGGGGCCTCCTAAGCATATACTCTTTTTTAATTATTATTGATTTTAGAGAGAGAGGAAGGGAGAGAGAAACATCAATTTGTTGCTCCACTTACTTATGCATTCACTGGTTGCTTCTGGCATGTGCCCTGACCAGGGATCAAACCAGCAACCCTGGTGTATTGGGATGACGCTCTAACCAACTGAGCCACCCAGCCAGGCCTAGGCATATACTCTGAATTATCCCTCTATCCATAATGGATCTCTGGAGGCCTCCTATGTGCCCACCCTGTGATGGGTGAATCTGAGAGCAAGTGAAGTCCCTACTTACGGCAGAGAATGGCCTCAACATCCGTTTGAAAACCCTCTTTCTTTTAATCATACAAGCCCCTGAGTTGCAGCTAGGCACACAGCCACTCAACTAGGGACTACACTTCCCAGCCTCCTCTGCTGCTACGCATGGTCACCTCGTAAGTTCTGACCAATAGAATGTAAGTGGCCATGACTGACAAGCAACTTGCCCTCACCTTGTCTTAGCCCTGGAACTTGAACTTGCTGGCCTGCTTTGATAATGCTCACGAGGGCATGGCTGGGCTGGGAGGGTGGGTAAGGAGGGAACCTGGGTCTCAAGGCAACCTACTAACACAGAGCTGCCTACCAGCCCTATGCAGCCCCACTACGCCCCCAACACTGGCTCTGAGGAGCGCCCGGCCTGGTGAAGAACACAGGCACAGACCATCAAAACACAGAGCAGTGTGGAGGTCGCTTACGGTACGAGAACAAGGCTGATTCCTACAGGTGTCTGCGTTCCCAGAGCCCATGGTTTGGATGATGAATGGAGACATCTCCCTAGTTAGGTCAGTGATGGCACACTCATTGTATGGACCCTCAAAAAGAATAAAGTGGGTTTATACAAAGCATCACAGAAGGGCTTTAAAAGATATTCTCATGAGGAAAAAAGCAGGTGATCGACACCACGAGAGGAGCTGCTGTTGACTTTGCTCACTAAAGCCCAGGATCCAGACAGTGCCTGACACATAGAAGATACTCAATAGATATTTCTTGAAAAAATGAATATGTATAGTATGAGTCCATGAGTGTAAAAAATATCTCTTTGCCAATATGTACCTGCAACTTGCATATATAATAACCCAGCTTTTGCTATTTAAAAATAAGGGTGTATATTACTGAGCATCTGGTATATATCAGGCATGTGCCAGCTACTTGGGCTAGATTAGCGACCAACATGACAATCCTGCTGTGCAGTATGTGCAATATGTAAGTATGGGAAACACTCCACAAATATTTATTGAGCACCTATTATGTGTTAATAACTCTGGTAGGTGCACATATGTTTATAGGCACAGAAGAAAGGATATACCTCAAACTCATAAAAGTAGTTCCTCTGGAAAGTGATTAGAAAGACTTCAAATGTTTACTTTACCTACTTCTCTGAGTTGACATATTAACAATCACCTTGTATAATTCCACATTAGGGTATCCATGCTAGACCAGTTGACTCTTTGCCCCCTGGTGATCAGTGCACATCATAGCGAGCGGTTGAGTAGCCTTAGCATATCATTAGCATATTACACTTTGATTGGTTGAATGGCCGACCAGACCAGACACTTAGCATATTACGTTTTTATTATCCTATATAATAAAAGCCTAATATACTGTGTCTGACCGACTTTACGACCAGTCACTATGATGCGCACTGACCACCAGGGGGCAGACGCTCTGACCGGTAGGTTAGCTTGCTGCTGAAGTCTGCAGATCGGGACTGGGTGAGACTGGCCGGACACGCCCTAGAGCCCTCCCACGGTCCCTCCCCAGGCGGCCAATCTCCCTCGGTCCCTCCCGGCCTCTAAAATATTTCTTCTAATTAATTTCCTTTGACAGTCCTGCTGTCATGCTAAGGCTATACACAACAGGGGCAGATCTGAAAATCAAGAGTGTTGAAAAAGAATATGACTTGATTATTGCCACTTACTGAGCCTGTAAGTGCATGAACTGGGTACTATTCTACACATTGTACATCCGTTAATTCACTGAACCCACACAGAAAGCCTAACAGAGATTAAGATACCCTGTTACACACCAATAACTGGGACACATGAAGTAAAGTTACTTGCCCGGGGTCCCAAATTGGGGACATGAACGAAATCTAGATTGAGTCCATGTTTGGGCAAGCTGATTGGGGTAATCATGTGACCCAAGCAGGGCCTTCCCATGAACTTGTGCAGTAGATGCTGGAGGAGAGACCATTGCTCTCTTCTTAGATCAGCAATTACCAACCAGTGTGCCACAAAAGGCACACTGATGTGCTGCAAGAATTTTTAAAACATGCAGCACCTGACTCGTCAGGGGCTGTGGGATGCGGCTCCAGTGTTTGGACAGGTTCAAGCCTTGGACTGAGGAGAGGGCACAGTCCTCTCATGGCCACGTGCAAGTCCCAGCTTGGAGGGCAGAGCCCTCCCAGCACAATTATAGCCAACAGCTATAGCTATAAGCTTGAACCTATGGTCCGAACACGTGGCCCCACGTGCCTGAGTGATGTGGGCTTGATAGAGTTCAGGTGCATGTAGTGGAGTGGGATTGAAACCCAAGAGAACGTTGTAAACATCTTGATCACGCCCTTACATTGCCTCGTGGCATCTGCTATAAAATAAAGACACGGCTTGTGGGCGCTGTCGCTGTCTCTCTCCACCCGAGAGGGCAGCGTCCCACTGAGACCCAGCTTTCATTCTCTTGTCTGTCTTTTCTAAGCCTTTCACCGCCCCCACTTGGGTTCACCCTTGGCCGTGCTGGCGCAGCACAAGGGGCACTGACCTCTTTTCCCTTAAATTCTCAAAAAAGCACAATAGCCATCAATTGTGAATGAATTAAAATTGTAAGTTCAGCAAAAAATACCCTTTCTGGTGTGCTGCAGAATTTTAGTAATGAGTTTATGTGAGCCATGAAATGAAAAAGGTTGAAAATCAATGAATTTGATAAGCTGGCATCAAAATGAGGCCAGTGGCCAGCTTCTCTGCCTCGTAAAAAGTCTGCTCTAGAGCAGTGGTGGCCAACCTTTCGGACCTCATGGTGGTCCAGACCACCGCTTGGCAATCGCTGCTCCCAACTGGTGGTCTGTGAGAGCTGAAAGGTTGGCGACCGCTGCTCTAAAGACATGAAACAGAGCCCTGAAGACAGCTCTGAGGCCCTGGATACAGCTGTGCCTGAAGCTGGACATACCCTTTGGACTTCCAGTTATTGAAGTCAAAAATTCCCTCTGAGATCCTGAGATAGTCTGAGCTGAGTTTCTAACACTTGCAGCCAAGAGTCCTGACTGACAAAGGAACAAATTCACCACATCCCAGGCCCGTTACGTGCTTTGGAGGGGGCTCGGTCTCTCTGGCGCTGCTGGGCGTCTCCTCTGGCTTCTTTGCTTTGCCCTCTTTCTTGGGGTGGAAAAACGACCTGGAGGAGCACAGGAGGGGGAAGAAAGGGAATGAAAACAGCACCAATAACTCCCCTGACCCATGATGTCCTCGACAGCTCTGACGCCAGTTCCCATCCTCCATGGAACAGGAGATTCCAAACAACCCCCTTTTGATAAGGAAACCGAAGCCCAGATGAGGAGGCAACCCTCTGCTTACTTTCCTGCCCTAACTCCACCTGATATGCCACATCCCCACTGTCACTCAACAAGTATTAACTAAGCACTTAGTATACACCAAGGACAGATTCGCCCCAGATTCCTCATCACGTGGGAAAAATCCAGCCTGGGGTCTGTCTGAGCCACCCTCTCCCAGGTCTGTGTGGTGGATGAGGTCTGGGTCTGTCTAGCGCCTGGTAACAGCCCTCCACTTTTCTCTTGGGAGGCCTCTTCCCCAAATTCTCTCAGTACCTGAGATTTGCATAGGCCTGTCCTTTCACCCATGACTGGGGCGGGCACATGCCCCAGGCCTGGCCAATCAGAGCCCTGCATCCCTGTGGCCAGATCAGGGACCAGCATGGGGCCTAAGCTGGACCAATGAAAACAGGAGCCTAGACACTGTTGGAACAGCTGGGAGGGGGCAGCCTCTTCCCACGGGGACTGCTAACTCTCTGGTGCCAGAGCCCGAGGAAGAGGACCTGCCAACACGACACAACCTGAGAGCAAGCAGAGCTGAAACATGGAGAGACGAATTCCCAGGGGCAAAGCTTTGGCAACTAGATCCAACTGTTAACTCCAGGTTCCAACGACACAGCCAAGTGATCCCCTTTCTGCTTTTCCACCTCGGCATGCCTGCGTGACAGGCCAGACCATTCTCTGTTGCATCAGGATGTTTAGCAGCAGCCTGGCCTTTACCCCTCTCACCCAGCTGTGACAACCACAAATATTTGCAGACATCGCCAGATGTGGAAGGCGAAACTGCCGCGGCCTGAGAACCACCGGTTAGGCTTTCCGAACCCTGCACCTAACATGTTTTAGTTAACTCACTCCCCGTTTTCCATGGCCCACTCCCCGTTTTCCATACTGATCAACTTCTGGAAAATGCCAGCTTGAGTTTTTCTAAGAAAAGGCAGCGAGTTACAGAGACAAGGAGAGACTCGGAGAGTTTAAGACGAGAAGGGGGACGAGGTTTCCTTACATGATGCTTCGCTGCATGATGGCGGCAAAATTGTCCCTTCCCCGCTCCTCCGCCTCTTCTCCTGTCTGCTGTTCTGGAACAGAAATCCAAATACTTGGTGAGAAGACTGCTTGTGCAGATATCAAAACTCATAAACCTCCTTCTTTTTTTAAAAAAATATATTTTATTGATTTTTTACAGAGAAGAAGGGAGAGAGATAGAGAGTTAGAAACATCGATGAGAGAGAAACATCAATCAGCTGCCTCCTGCACATCTCCTACCGGGGATGTGCCCGCAACCCAGGTACATGCCCTTGACCGGAATCGAACCTGGGACCATTCAGTCCACAGACTGACGCTCTATCCACTGAGCCAAACCGGTTTCGGCAACCTCCTTCTTTTAAAAAATGTATTTTTATTGATTTCAGAAAGAAAGGTAGAGGGAGAGTGAGGAACATCAATGATGAGAGAGAATCATTGATCAGCTGCCTCCTGCAACCCCCCTCCCTCCCCAACTGGGGATCAAGCCCGCAAACCAGGCACGTGCTCTCAACGGGACTCAAACCCGGGACCCTTCAGTCCGCAGGCTGACACCCTATCCACTGAGCCTAACCGGCCAGGGCCATAAACCTCCTACTTGCAGAAAGAAAAAAAATCCACAAGATCAGAAACATGCATTTTCCCCCTCGAGAAGAAACTCCCCTTTTTTCGGACCAGAATCATCTGCCAGTGAGAAGTGCCGGTCATATTCTCATACGCCTGCAGCTGCTGGCCCTTCCCCAGGTGCAGCCCCTAGGAGTCGCCTCGCCCAGCGGTGGCCCCCGTTTCCTGGAAATACTTCCATACCCAGATGTCCTCCCCACAGACAGCAAGTCCTCATTCCTCACGGGCATGTACCCTACTCCCTTGTGGCCCCATCCCCCCAAACCTCCTTACGGCCCCACCCCTTCCCAGACCCAGGCCGCCTCCTCCCTGTCCAGCCTTCAAAGCCCTCCCCTTGGCCCCGCCCCCTCACAGGTAACCGAGGCCAGACCACGCCCCGTGCCTAGACCAGGGCCTTACCGCTGACCTCTCCCTGGCCCAC